AAAGACAAAGCTAACGCACTGGACCCACTCCCCATGCGGAAATACTGCTGACAGAGAGAGAGAGAGAGAGGGAGAAACTTTTCCAGCAAAATCATAGCTTTCCCCTTCAAGGCCATGTTACACTTACTTATATTTATAGTTGCGTTTAGGAACACAGCGGCCTGTGACAGTGTGGTGCTGCCCTGCCTTTACAAACCTACTCCTCGCTTGTTCTACTTCTGCGCCTGCCTGGCACCAGCTCAACCCTGCACACCCAATCAATAATTCTGTTCCGCTTTTATACCTCTCTTTATTTAAAACGTGTGGTCTTCTCTGATATAAACAGGCAGATGAAAAAACTGTAAAAAATTTTTTTAAAAGACTAGCAAAGAAGATCTGGAATGCAGCTAGAGTGTGAATGCAGACTGCATCTGGACCAGCTAATTCTGTACAACGCCCAGAGAATGCTCCACTGGCTAGCTGTTTTTTATTAGCCCCATTAAATCATTGTAGTTAAGGATGCACCAATATGGGAATTGTGAATTGCCAATATCTGACATTTTACGTGTACATACCTGCTGATACTGATGCATAAACATTTCTAAAACATACAAACTGGGTCTACATTCACCTGGATTTGCATTTCAAAGAAATGTAATATTTTATTCCACACCAACTCATCTAGGGCCTATCCAGTTACGTCATCTAATTCCATGAAAGAAATGTAAGCACTTCAGTTTAATTTATGCAAACTGTAAAGCAGTGCTGTAATTACTTCTTTATTTGTGACTTAGGATACAAAAGAGAATTATAAAGGTTCTGTTGGAACTGTTCACAGTTTTACTGTTCATTTTTATTGTGGATTTTAGTCAAATATGTCATGTTTAAAAATGATTAAACTATGAGAGTGATAGCACATATATAATTCATGATGCCAATGAGACATAACTGTTCTTATTCAAGGGAAAGCTTTAAGGAAATGGAATTGTTCCATTTTGAGACAATACAGGTTCAAAAAGGCCTACAAAACGGATTTTTAGTGGAAGTCATTTTGAACTCATGGTACAGTTTCAAACACTGCATGCAGAAATTAATAATTCATAGGTTTAATATAAATGTAGGATTGCCACATAAACTCAACATTTTATAAAAATCTAACATAAAAACAACATTCTCCAAAGCAGTGGCGAACCATGGCTCTTAGTGCTAGGTCTTCAGTTCGGACCATAAATGTAAAACTCTACGACAATGCTAATCTTTGTTATGGCCGCTATAGGATTTTATTATTATGATAGCACTAAACAACTGCTGTTGCGCATTAACATTTTTTGTCCATTCTAAATTAAATACAGACATTTGAAGCTTGTAAAATACTCTCCATGTTTTATTTAAAACTTATAATGGACATATTAGCATATATTTTACCCTGTATGTAGTAGTTTACGGTAAGTCTTTCTCAGGCCTAGAGTAATGTTCCTTCTAACCAAATTGGTCCCATCATTATAAATCAAACAACATTTAATAATTGTTTGGGGACTGAAGAGAAACACTGATCCAGTTTTGAAAGCTGATTTTTGCCATTCTTCCGCATCTTCAACTGTGCAACTGTACAGGGCCTTTTTTGTCGTATTTTGAGCTTCGTAATGCGCCACGTTTTCAATGGAAGACAGGTCTGGACTACAGACAGTACGGTCTAGCACCTGGACTGTCTGATTGCACAGCCATGCTGTCTTACCGTTGCCTTGTTGAAATCAACATAGACGTCCCTGAAAAAGTCGCCATCTAGAAGGCTGCGTATGTTGCTCCAAAATATGTTCAGCAATAATGGCGCCTTCACAGATATGCAAGATGCCCACTAATACCCCCTCATAACAAGACAGACCCTGGCTTTTGAACTTTATGCTAGTAACAATCTGGATGGTCCTCTTCTTTTGTTTTCGACATCCATTATTTCCATGAACAATCTGAAAGGTTCACTTGTCTGAACACAATACACATTTTCACTGTGGATCAATCTATTTCAGGCAAGCTCAAGTCCAGAGACTTGGACGTTACTGACATATGACTTCCGGTGTGCATAGTACAGTCTTATCGGTGATGGACAGGGTTTAATGACAATGTTTTTCAAAGTACTGAAAATGTGGTGATATCCCTCAAGAAACATGTCAGTTTTTAATGCAATGCCATCTGAGGGGTCAAAGTACATGGGCATTTAGCTGTAGTTTGGATTGCCTTTTGATGATATTATGCATTGAAGGGAGTGAAATACCTAAAATTCTTGCAACTGCTCATTGAGGAATGTTATTTTTGTATGTTTACAAAAACAATGAAATTGACAGGACTAAACATTGCATATCTTGTCTTTGTACTATTGTCATTCAAATACAGGTCAAAATATATTTATAAATAACTGCTTTCTATTTATTGCCATTTCTCATACTATCCCAACTTTTTTGGAATTGGGTTTGTAATGTTAGTGGTTAATCTAACGCATTAGGCCTTAAGTCCGCTTCTGAACATCACTTAGCTTTAATGTACCTAGATTCCACGAAGAAAAAAATTCGGATTCAACAATTTTCCATTGGCCGTTTCAAGAATTTAATCCTTTGCTTCCCATCAAAACAGTGAGACAAGAGAGGTGCTGCAATAGCTGAAAAGTTTAAACACAAGCATTCAATCATACTGAATAAAAATAAACTAAACGTTAGAAACATGTATTTAGAAAGCCCTGAAGGTTCCCCAATCCTAACTTCAAACTAAATGATGAAGTATGATTCTTTGAGTTGCATTTACATTCAGTAAATATTTCAGCTTTAGTGCAGTAGCCCAGCACCACCTAAATGTTTCGCTCTTCCAGAAAACAATAAATTCATCATCAAATATTTGGTTTGAAATATCATTTAAATATAAACCTCCGTTAAACTCTCTCATTCAGTGCACACATCAACTCTGTAGTTAAAACCTCTTTTTTCCATTTCCGTAACATTGCAAAAATTCGATTGTCACTCTCTCAGTCTACTGCAGAAACCCTTATTCATGCATTCATTTCTAGTCGCCTGGACTATTGTAACTCTCTACTTGCTGGTATTAACTCCTCCCATTTATGCAAACTCCAGATGGTACAGAACTCTGCTGCTCGCCTTCTCACCCGCACCCGTGCACATCAGCATATTACACCCATCCTGCAACATCTCCACTGGATTCCTGTAAAATACCGCATACAATTCAAAATTCTTCTCCTCTCACACAAAGCTCTGCATAACCTTGCTCCTTCTTACCTCTCTGATCTACTTATTCCCTACAAACCAACTCACATTCTCAGGTCTTCCTCTGCTGGTTTACTCACTGTCCCACCTTCCAAACTTCATGGGTACGGTGATCGTGCTTTCTCAAGACTGGCTCCCCGACTCTGAAACTCTCTTCCCTCACATATTCAACAGGCCAACTCTGTCTCCACTTTTAAATCTAAACTTAAAATTTATCTCTTTTCTATTGCTTATAACTGTTCTCAATCCTAAACCAGCTCTTTGCCAAGTCCTGCTATGTTTTGCTTGTGATGTTATGACTGTGCTTCATGTTCTCATGTCTGTCTTTACTGTTCTGTATTTCAAAAACCTGTAAGCGTCTTTGAGTTCTTGAAAAGCACTGTATAAGTATAATGTATTATTATTATTATTATTAAACAGTTTTAAACAATTATGTGCTGATATGACTATATATTTTTTTTGTTGTAAGCAATTATCTGCTGATACTGATATAACCTTCTAACACTTCTGCACTTCTTTCATAATAGCAATCAATGCTTCACTCTGTTAATTATCTAATTAAATGTCTAACAAAGTCCGCTTAGTATGTTTTCACTCTCAGTGTAGTGAAAAGTTGGATTCAAAGGTGCAGTGAGTGTAAAATGTAATTATAGCCGGCATGTCCAACAGAGCAGCTCTGATAGTGCTGTGTTGCAGCTAAATCGCATCTAAAGGCATTTAGAGATGAATCTGTCAGAATATAGTCACACAGCATTAGAGCGGCCAGTGGTGTACTCTCTCTCTCTTTCTTTCATTATCTTACTCTCTTCTGCTTCATTACAGCCTCCATGCATATTAATGAGGGGAAATGGAACATAAGACAGGCAGACATGCACCCACACAGACGCACACACATACACAAACACATACATTTTCCTAAGACATCATACACAGGATACACGTAAACATGACAAAACACAACAGCAAATGCAAACATACACAATTCACTCCCAGACATGCAACACAAACAATGCAAGACACACATAGAGTTGGCTGGGACCGGGGCTTATGGGAAATAAGTCATGGTGTAAATTGCTCTGGTGGTCACTTTGATGGCGCCACACAGTTTTCTCCTCTACCCACAATCCCACTGGTTCCTCACTTTAGAGAGCCTTTCATTAACCTACCCCCCTCCTCACCCCCACCACACAAACACAGACATGCTATAATGGCTAATTATGGAGCATGTGAGCGTATTGAACTGCCTCATCCCCTGACATTGCTGTCACAGGGGGAGAGGTCACTACTGCACTGAGAGTAAAGGATGAAAAGGACTAAAGGAAAGGGGCTTAACACTCCCTCTTTGTCTCTTTCTTTCTGGTGATTTTATTCTGGCACCAAAGCCTACCTTAAAGTAGACTACAAACAAGTACGAGCACAGCCACCATGCTACCATCACAGAGAAACAACTGGCATTTTCAGTCAGTCGACTACAAACAAGTACGAGCGCAGCCACCATATTACCATCACAGAGAAACAACTGGCATTTCAGTCAGCAAAAAGAAGTTCAACAATGAATCAAAACTATTTAGAAACGTGTGAATAACACCAGGCTGGTAACATCAGCAGTGCTCCACAGAAGCTTCACTGGTGCCATAACACAACTCAAACAAGCCTTCACCAAAGAGCTCCAGGTAGATGCGATTATGAGATGGGAAGAGAATCAAAGGATGATGGAGAGAAGAAAGGACTGACGGAGGTATAAACCTCACTCACTCATTCGGTGTGTACGGTCAGGGGGAAGCGAGGGAACGAGAGGGAAAGATGAGAGAAGGTTCTTTGGCAGTTCATCAGGCTGTCAGGCTGGTGTGTGTGAGAAGAGAGGAACATCTCCGCTCAGGTAGACATGCTGTCAGCTCGAGCCGGCCTGTCTGCAGGGCTGGGCAAGTATTAACCTCTCTGAGAGAGACAGAGTATGAGAGAAAGAGCGAGAGACAAAGAGCGAACGGACACACGTTAAAACATGAAAGACATACACGGAGTGGATACACACGCCAAATTTAGCAGAACTTCTGAATGTCAGCTCTCAGAAAATAAGTTACAGGCAGGAAAATCAAAAAGGAAAACTAAAAAGGGAGAGAACAACACACCTCCACAGACAGATTTCCAGCCTCGGCTTATTATGGCTACTGCTCAAAACTGGTTTCCTTATTTTCAGAATTTCAGATTTTTCCTCTTACATACCAATGCAATAGACTCAGGCCATTCTTCAGGTGTCCCAAAGGTGAGTTAGCCCTGCACCTGTGTGCCTGACACATGGCTAATCTTCCCCAGGTGAGCGCAGCTACGTCTGCATTTTAGCCCCTCTGGCCTAGTTTTTACAACTTGCAACACTCATGGACTCCCAAAACATAGATGATTGCAGATGTGCAGAGGAAATGCACACAGATCATAATCTATGCAAACCATGATTCAAAGGGCAAACGAGTGTACAGATGAGTCAAAATTTTAAGCAATCTTCTCAGATCTGCACATAAAAAAGAAGAAAAACTCACATCTATACACAGCTTGGGGTGTATTAACAGCTAATAACAACAAAAAAGCATTTCAGCATTATTTCACCATCTTTCTGTACCTCTGAAAAACTATTTACACAGAACAGTTTATAACTAAGTAAATGGTAGAGAACATCTAGTTTCTATTCTAATCCGACCTCATAATTTATAGCACACTATCAGTCTTCTAGCTCTCTCTCTCCTCAGTTATATCTAATTCCCATCAAATCCTTGTTCCTATTGCAATAATTTCAGTGTAATTATATTAGCAGTAAGAATGGAAGAGAGAAGCTGGAAATAAATAAGTGCAGTGGGTTCGCTCTGGGATTGTGGAGTTGAGGCGGCTTGCTTGAGCATTATAGCGCTAATTAGCAGAAGATTACTATGCAGTGTGCAAGGCCATGGTCCAGAAAGGCATCATTAGGCCTGGTGATGGGGAGATGCCTTCAGCACATTGATCCTACGGCTATAGGAACAATGCAGACTGCAGACTTTATAATTGGGCCTGAGGCACACTGTGTGTGTGTGCTTCTGAGTATACGCCAGTGTAAATTTCTGTGCGTATATGCAGGCGTGTGTGTGTTTTATATGCATACGAGTGACAGTATGCAATTCACCATGAACTTACAGATGGGTTATCCAAGACAGATGGGAGTCTTGGGTGAGCTAACAATCCATTATACATTGCATATAAATTGCCATTGGTAAATTATTTCTTAGAAGCCAGAATTATACCTTGAAATGTTTCTCCTTAGTACTCTTTTCAAGACATTCTGTTTGGATAAGAGACATTCTCCAAATGGTCTGCTTTTATGAATGATGACTGTCTGTCTGCCTGTCTGTTTGTCTATCCATCCATCCATTCATCCAATGGCCTCAAAAGGTATTTGGACATTTGTGCCATACTTAAAAACATATTAGGTTCATTGTGTTACTAAACAAAATGTCCAAAACGTCCAAAATGACCAAGTGACATTTATTTTAAACAGACCATTCTAAGACTTTTTTTAAAACTGTTACTGTTTGAGCAATTTACTTGCAGACTTTGCAGGTTTGCATTCAAAATGTCTTTATACAATTCTGAGTTCATAATCTATTACTGAACACAAGCTTACCAACACCCCGTAAGAAAAACAGCCCCAGATATTGACGTTTCCACCTCTTGACTGTGCTCCATCTTAGTACTTAGCAGTAGTATAGTGCATACATTTAAGTTCATCAATGATTAAAGTGTCCAAGTACTTTTTGGGACACCACATACATATATATTCTCTAAACACTCATGAAAAGGCAATTTTCAACAAAATCAAACATCTTCCAGCCATCTTCATCTTCGGCCCTTAGATTTTTACAATTAGAACAGAAGATTTCATTACAAAACTAAGGCATTAGTTATTGAACATGGCCAAAGTTGTTGTTTTGGCTTGGTGCTATGACTGAACACACTGGACCTGAACTGAAACAACCAGCATTACCTCAGAGGGTTTACCGCAAGATAAAAATCACTGGTAAGCCTCAAGAATTGAAATACTGAAACCAAAAATGTCTGCAACAAAGGCCTGGAGGAGCGGCACTAGTGAAGATGTCCATGGTCCAGCGAGTCCAGACATTGGGAAAGGATTTGCAACCATGTACCAAAAATAAACTTGTCCAAACATGATATCCTGAAATGAGTAAGAGACTATGTGATTCCTATATAGCTCATTTAATTTAAGCAGAAGTACCCATGAATTTAAGCCAACATTCAGCGCCTTAAGATCATGGTCACTGTTTCATTTCAAATTCAGTCTGTTGGCAGTTTAAAGTCAAAATGACAAAAACTGTGTCACTGTCCAATTACTTATGGGCTGCACTGTAGTTCAGCCATGGCATCAGCTGAAACCTTCACAGTAATGATGAAACTGTGTGTGACCCTGAACCTGAGAACAGGCCTCTATCCACCCCCACTACTTATTCAGACAGTGATTTATGTGCTTTTTATTTGTCCTGCTCATATGTTTTGAATTTCATTTACTCACTTTGCATAACGCACCGTATGCTCATAAGGAGAGGGAGTGGGGGGTGTCGATCGGCTTGTCCTCATCCTGTCTCTCTCTTTCTCTCTCTCTCTCCCTCTCTCTCTCTCATCTCCGTTAGAGTTGGAGTTATGATAATCAGCTGATTAGTTTCTGAAGTCCTTTTCCCTCAGGCTCCTTTGTGTGTAAAATCCTCGCGCTCAATTGACATGTGGACATCATCAGGCTGATGAAATGCAGTAGTAATGAACAAGTGGGCTGGGGCATCTGCACAGGGACCCCAAACCCACGAGGACCCCCTCTCCTCTCCCCCCGCCATGCTAATGCAGAGCGAGCTGCTGCTCTCCACGTGCTGTCCCTGCGGAATGCCTGATGGAAGTGCGCAGAGATGCATATTCAAACCAGCACCTTCATGGAAGCACACCGCGTGAACAGAGAGAGAGCGAGAGAGAGGAAGAGAAGGAGGGTGGAGAGAGAAAGAGAAAGAAAGAGAGAGAGAGAGAGAGAGAGAGAGAGAGAGAGACAGAGAAAAGGCTGAGTGGCTTGACCCATGCTAATTTGGAGGCAGATTATTTTGCATCAGCCACAGTAATGATGTGACAGTTCATTTGTGGGCAGACTGAGGAAGAAAGGAAGAAGGGAGGATGAGTAGAAGAGAGCAAGAAAAGATGGGGGCGGTGATGCTTGGCTGGACGCAGGTGTTGGTCTGCTCCGCTCTGAGCTGTCAGAGCCAGTCTGGGGGCCGCTGTCAAATTATCCCCCCTAAAAAGGGCCTGAGACACACGCAAATCTGAGAGACATTTAAGAAATTAATGCATTCGTATTCAACACATATTGTGAGCAGCATTTCATTAGAGGTGCGCTAGTCGTATTAAAACTGACAGCTGACCTTTCACATTTCCCCTCCCGCCTCACAGGAATGTGCTTATTACATACGTGTTTGAGTCAAAGAGGAGTTAACGGGATAACTACTCATAATTAAACACACAGACTGACTCGCTCGCCGCCTCTCTACCAAGCTTTTTCTTTCTCATGTTATCTGATCCTATTATGTTAGGAAGGGCATAAGGCACATATGTCACAAAGATCATAGCAAAGTGATTTAGTAGTAGGCTAGAATGTCACATGCAACTAAAGGGTGTGTCTGACAACAGCCTCCATTTGATTTTCTGTCTCATCTTTATTACTGATTGCTCCAGCTGCTGTCATAAGGAGTAATGTTGTTATATTTGTAACAGAAATCATGACAAAATAATTCATTTATATCAGGTCTTTATGCTTACTTTCTTATATGTAATTTAGACACATGTATACAAACACACTCAAACACAATCAAAAGTTTGGGATCACCTCTCATTGAAAATTGCTGTTATTTTACTCAGATTGAAATACTATGCCTAGACACAAAGAGGTGTTTTAAAGTATATTTTATTCAATATTTCAAGAACTTATTAAATGGTACACAATTTATTACAATTATCCGTTCACATCCATCCATCCATCATCTAAACCGCTTATCCTTCTGGGTCGCAGTGTTATCTGTTCACAGTATTTTTTTATTAATGTTGTGTGCCTTTTTCAAATACAATGTTACACCTACATCTACAGCTCAGTTCACCAGATTAGGTTTATATTATTAAAAACAGTGGTTCCAAATCTCATATGCGACACAAAAACTGTTACTGTTTAGTTCCTCAATTGACATGAATGGCATAGTAACGTTATTTGTTGTCAAAGTTTAATAGTTTTTGCAAAAACTTAAAAATCCTAACTAGTTATATCATAACTAGTCCACACTGCTCTCTCATGCTAACATGAGACAATATTGCTAAGATATTGCTAAACTTTCTTTTTAACATATTTCATTAAGGCTACATTTACATTGCAAGCCTTGTTGCTCAAGTCAGATTTTTTGCTCTGATTTTCAGCCTTAACGTCTCATATTTGTGTTTATTAGTGTCTCACATATCTGTCATTAGTGAGAGCAGACATCTGCCTTGTTCTCATTACAACTGCTTTCACATGTATTCAATCTAGGACCACACATGAACATGGCTCAAATGTGATTTGAAAAGATTTTATGTTCACACAGCTCTGTAAAAGACCTAACCAACTACTTTTAATATCAGATAAAGACAAAATGAGTAAACACAGAATGCAGCTTTTAAATGATCTTTCCATTTATTGAAGACAACAATTTATTCAAAATCTATATCACCCATGTGAAAAAGTAATTGCCCCCCTAAACCTAATAATTGGTTGTGCCACCCTTGGCAGTAACAG